GGTGGCAGGGGGGTAGCAGGGGGGTGGCAGGGCCCACCCTCACCTCAGGGCCAGCAGGAGCTGGGAAGCTGAGCCAGTCGAGGAGCTCACAGGTGTCCTTCAGCCAGTCAGCTGCCCAGACGCTGACCCGCCGGTCGGAGCTGCAGGCCAGCCAGAGGTCACCTCCTGCCACCCCAAAGTCCTGCTGCTGCAGAGAAGAAGTGACACTTGTGACTCTGGCAGTGCAGAAGGCTCAAAGGAAGTTGCCACCAGAACTAACCTGGGGCAGGAGCTGGTGGGAACTCATCCCCTAAGGGGATGGACATCAGGATTATCCACCAGTTGGTTCAAGTCACTTAAGAGTGAAACAGGAGAAGGAAGAGGCTGCTGGTGGAGGGGTGGGAGTCTGAAGGACACAGATCTCTTCCCTGGGACATGCTCTGGATCTGCACATCTCCTTGGGGAGCACTGCAGGTACTGTGTCCCCTCACCATGTCCTTCACCTACAGCTGAGGAGGATCTCCCAAGCTCAGAGCCACCAGGGAACACAGCCTGGAGCTGTGGGTGGTTTGAAGAGGAAAAGGGCAGGGACAAGGAAGCCAAGCACTGCTGTGTGACACACAGGGGACACTGCAGAGTGCCAGGGCACTGGGTGAGGTCTCACCTGCTTCCTAGTGCACTGGAGGACAGTGATGGGGGAGCCCTTGTGGTCATGGAGGACACGGAGAGTGATGCCAGTGCGGGAGCTGCTGACAGCCACCAGCCCATCCTTGCCCCCTGACAAGATCATTTCTCCTGTGGGCAGAGGAGAAAGGTCCAAGACTGTGGGATACTGGTGTCCCCAAGCACCTGAAAGGCTGGGAACACACCATAGAATGGTTTGGGTTGGAAAGGATCTGTAAGATCATCCAGTCCAACCTTTCAGTTAACTCCACCAACCCAGTTCTCCCAGCAAACTTCTCACCCATGGTCCTAAGCACCAGATCTGAACAACTTTGAAACACATTCAGGAATGGTGATTCAACCACTTCCCTGGATATTTCAGTGCTTAATAACTTCTTCTGTGAAGTTTTTCACCCTAAACCTCCCCAAACATCTGAGACAAGGGCTGGGAAAGATGAGGTGTCTTGGAGACACCCACTACAACTCTACACTGAAGATGAGCTGCTTGTGAACTGGAAGCAGGAGGACAAAAGGACATGCTTGGTTTGGGTTGGAAGGGACCTTCAAGATCATCTATTCCCAACCCCCTGCATGGGCAGGGACACCTCCCACCAGCCCAGGTTGCTCCAAGCCCCATCCAACCTGCCCTTCAACACTGCCAGGGATGGGGCAGCCACAGCTTCCCTGGGCAGCCTGGGCCAGGCTCTCACCACCCTCATGGTGAAGAATTTCTTCCTGATGTCTCACCTAAACCTCCCCTCTTCCAGTAGAAAACCCTTCCCCCTTGTCCTATCACTACACTCTTGGTTGAAAAGCCTCTTCCCACCTCCTCCTGAAGGTCTCCCTGAAACCTCCTCTTCTCCAGGCTTTGTCCCCAACCCCCTTTGCTTCACCAGTGACAATAAAACCCCCGTGTCCCTTTTCCCACAGGCTCTGCTGGCAGCTGCCCAAGCTCTTTGCTCTCTGGCTCTCCATGTCCCCCCTGCAGCCTCACCATCAGTGGAGTAGGTGATGGCAGTCAGGGCCAGGGCATGGGGCTGCATCTTCAGCTCCATCTCAGTCCTGGAGATGCTGAACACACGGATGGTGCCATCACTGTACCCTGCCACCACGTGCTGTTTCTCTGCTCCCCATGGAATCAGAGGCTTCCAGGCCAGGCACTGGCAGCTCTGCAAAGTCACCAGGGCAGAGTCACAGAGTTATCTTGGTTGGCAAAGACCTTCAAGGTCACTGACTCCAACCATCAACCCAACACTGTCCTTATCTAAACCTTATCCCTCATGTCTGTGTGTCTTAAGTCCCTCCATGGTGACTCCACCACCACCCTGGGCAGCCTGTTCCAGGGCCTGACAACCCTTTGGGTGAAGAAAATCTTCCCAACATCTAATCTGAACCTCCCCTGGTGCAACGTGAGGTCATCTCCTCTTGTCCCATCCCTTGTTCCTGGGGAGCAGAGCCCAACCCCCCTGGCTCCAACCTCCTCTCAGGCAGTTGCAGAGCCAGAAGGTCTCCCCTCAGCCTCCTTGTCTCCAGGCTGGAGACCTCCTGGGGTTGGAAGAGACCTCTGGAGATCACCCAGCCCAACCCCTGCCAGAGCAGGGTCACCTCCAGCAGATCCCACAGGAACATGTCCAAGTGGGTTTGGAATGTCCAGAGAAGGAGCCTCCACAGCCTCTCTGGGCAGCCTGTCCCAGGGCTCTGCCACCCTCACAGGAAAGAAGTTGTTTCCCATGTTCAGCTTGACCCTCCTGTGCCCCAGCCTGTGCCCATTGCCCCTTGTCCTGTCACTGGGCACCCCTGGGAAGAGTCTGGTCCCCCCTCCTGCCACCCCCTGGAGATACTGCCCAATGACCCACTGAAGCCCAGGACTGTTCAACCACCATTTCCCCAGCATCTCTGCCCCGTGAGGACACACCGGTCCTTGCAAGCCCCTCAAACAGTGCCTGGTACCTTCTGCCAAGAGTTGGAGGCACCACAAACCTGGTTGAGCACCTGAAACTGCACCACCAGCTCCACCGTGCCCAGTGCCCAGACCCGCACGCTGCCGTCCTCCCCGCAGGTGGCACAGTGGGACTCACAGGGGCTGAAGGACACCTCGGTCACCTGGGATGGGAAGGGAGATGGGCCCAGAGGACATCAGCTCCTTCTCAGCCCCCACACAAGGTTTAAATTTTTGGGGTGACAGCTGGGAATGGAAAGCAGGGCAGCTAAACCCAGAGTGAGGACTGGGCACTACCCAACGTGGGTCTGTGTGAAGTATTATCAGCAGGGAACTATGGGATGGGTTGGGAGGGACCTTCAAGATCAGCTCATCCCAACCCCCTGCATGGGCAGGGACACCTCCCACCAGCCCAGGTTGCTCCAAGCCCCATCCAACCTGCCCTTCAACACTGCCAGGGATGGGGCAGCCACAGCTTCCCTGGGCAACCTGGGCCAGGCTCTCACCACCCTCACACCAAAGAATTTCCTCCTCATGTCCAATCTCAATCTCCCCTCTGCCAGTTTTAATCCATTCCCCCTTGTCCTCTCCCTCCCTGCCCTTGTCCCAAGCCCCTCCCCAGCTTTCCTGGAGCCCCTTCAGGCCCTGGAAGGTGCTCTAAGGTCTCCCTGGAGTCTTCTCTTCTCCAGGCTGAACATCCCAACTCTCCCAGCCTGGCTCCAAAGCAGAGCTGCTCCAGCCCTGGGATCATCTTTGTGGCCTCCTCTGGACTCTCTCCAACAGCTCCATGTCCTTATGTTGGGGACTCCAGAGCTGGACACAGTTCCAGGTGGGGTCTCCCCAGAGCAGAGCAGAGGGGACAATCCCCTCCCTGGCCCTGCTGCCCACGCTGCTGGTGACACAGCCCAGGATAGGGTTGGTTTCTGGGCTCCAGGTCATGTTGAGCTTCTCATCCACCATCACCCCCAGGTCCTTCTCCTCAGGGCTGCTCTCAATCCAGTCTCCAACCCAGCCTGTATTTGTCCTGGTACCTTCTCTTCTCTCATTGGAACCCTTTTTTTTCTGTAGCTTGAGGACCCCCCAGAGCAGCAGCCCCATGGACAACACTCGTCCTTCCCCTGGCTTGGGGTCTTTTTGTTCCAGGCCCAGGGAAGGTTCTGGGACATGGGTGTCCTGCTAGCAAACACAAGGCAGGAAGCAGAAGTCCCAGCCCTCAGGAACAAAGCCTCAGTGTCTGCAAACTGCCTTCCCTGCCCCAGCAGAAAGGTCCACAGCCCTTCCAAGCCTGGGGCAGGTCAACCTGCCAAGGCCAGAGCTCAGCCTGCTCCATGCTGGGTTCCTCAGCTCTCTCTAAACTCCACGTCATCCCAAGGGCTCCAAGGAGCCCTCCAGCTCCCTGCCCTGCCCCACGGCCAGCCCAGGGGACCTTCTGCAGCCCTCACATGCTTCCTGGGCCAGGGCCACTTGCTGCTCTGCAGGACCAAGCACCCCAGCCCCTCCAACCTTGTCCTTGTGGCCGCTGATGAGGCGGATGCTGGTGCTCTCTGCCCAGTTGATGTACCACAGGGTTCCTGCTGTGGTGCCCACAATTCCCAGCTCCAGGGAGTCATCAAAGGCTGCACTGACAATGGTCCCATCCAGGGTGAGCTCATCTTCCAGCAGGACTGAGCTGGACCTGGAGGAAAGGAGATGGGGAGGTTCTGGTTCTGCTGCTGGAACAGCCTCTGCCTCTGCCTGGGGAGCCCAGGGCCCCATCTGTGGGGAAATGGTTCCCTGAGGGGCTGGGGACAGGGAACAGTGACCTGAGCTGAGCCCTCCTGCTGGGGAGTGGGAGGGGAATGGGGGGGGGTGATGGGGGGAATGGTGGAGGGAGGAAAAAAGGAAGGGAAAAGGGGAGGGAAAAGGGGAGACAAAGGGGAGGGGAAAGGGGAGGAAAAAGGGGAAGGAAAAGAGGAAGGGGAAAAGGGGAGGGGAAAGGGGAAGGGAAAAGGGAAGAGAAAAGGGGAAGGAAAAGGGGAAGGGGAAAAGGGGAGGGGAAAGGGGAAGGGAAAGGGGAAAGGGAAAAGGGAAAGGGAAGGGGAAAAGGGAGGGAAAAGGGAGGGAAAGGGGAGTGAAAAGGGAAAAGGGGAGAGAAAAAGGAAAAGGGAGGGAAAAAGGAAAAGGGAGGGAAAAAGGGAGGGGATAGGGAGGGAAAAAGGGGAGGGTAAAAGGGAAAGGGGAAAGGGGAAGGGAAAAGAGATGGGGAAAGGGGAGGGGAAAAGGGAGGAACCAGGACACAACAATGCAAAAGGAACAAAGGCAACAAATGTATTTTCCCTACTTTTCCTACAGGATTTCCTACAACTCAGTGACAAACTTCAGGCCTGATAAAGTCCCCCCTGTCCCCAGCATCAGGAGGGACAGGTCCCAGTGGGACAAATGCCAGCAAGCCTCAGTGGGCACGGGCTGGAGGGGAAAAGCCAGGAGGCAGCAGGGATGCAGGGAGAGCCAATGCCTGCCTGTCAAAAGCCACCTAGAGCAGGGCCTGGGAGCTGCCAGAGATGGGGAAGAGCTTCTCAAGAGGAGGGTGAGATGGGCATAGAGGGGACAATGAGGCCACCAGCTCCTTACCTGGCCCGGGGACCCTCCAGCCTCAGCTCCTGCATGGTGCCCACTGCCCAGAGCCGCAGGCGGCGGGTGTTGCTGCCGCTGAGCAGCCGGTCGTGCCCACCCAGCAGGACTCCTGGGGCAGGAGGGAGGACACCACCAGTGTCCAACCCCCCTTCTCAGCCACCACCCGAGGTGTCCTCCTGCCAGCCAACCCACCCATTCCTTCAGGTAGGGCACTGGGGGTCTTGGACAAGCCAGTATTTACAGGCTAGAGGGGAACCCCACCAGGAAGGCAAGGTTGGGTCCCACTGCCACCCCAGCATCTTCCACCTGACACAGCAAGTAG